AGCTGGATCTAAGGCCTTTTCAATGCTCCTGCAGGATTATCCGAGGATTTTGACAGACTTAATGGAAAAGGTGTCGAGAACGTTAAGGTTTTGGATTCCAATTCCTTTTTGGGTGAGCAACTCCCTTCGAGGCTTCCCTGGTGTGCTCACAGCTCAGGGTGGAGGCTGTAAGAGAGCGGGAGCAGCAACCATCTGGTCGACCTCAACAATGTGATCTATCTGGGTGTGGGACCTGCCACGACTCCTTCCTTCCTTCCCCGCTGCTTCCTTGTCATGCGGCCTCAATGCCCCCTGCTCAACCATTCTGCCTTCCCTCATGCACAATCAAACCACTTCCTCTGCTTAGCTCTTTCTCCTCCCATCCTACCCTTTCCTCCTTCAGGAAAGATTAGGCTCATGAAATCAACAAATCTTAAAAGAGCAGCAGAGAAAAGGAATATCTCTTTTGCAGTTGTTCAAAGCATCCTGCCCCTGCATGGCAGCTCTTCTCTTTGTGGGGAAGAGGCTAAACACTTAATTTTTTTTAAGCCATGAAGTTATTATCATTAAAATTTTGCCTCTACACAATTGAGTCTTGTTAGAAATGTGACTTGGAACTTCTATGCAGGTTTAGAAAAAGAAAGAGCTGAGGGTCAGGGCTGTGCAAACATCTCTTATGGTGGCTCCTTTAAAAGGGCAGCTTTGCACCCCCATCCTAGCCAGTGCCTGTCAGAGCACTTCTGCTCTGACTGCACACAGGATCACTAGGGAGCCTTAAAATGACACTGATGCCAGGGTCCTACTTCAGCCACTGCTATCAAGATCTCTCAGGGCAGCACTGGGAGGAGGTGTTTGTGGTGTTTCATGGGCACACACATTGCCGGCCCCTGAGACTTCACCATGCATGCAAATGCCCAGCAGGCTTGCAGAGCTATAGATCCTGACCCAGAAGCCAGTACTACTGGCCCTGGAGCCACCGGTGCTGCTGGTGTGAAGACCACACTGAACAGGGAGGCACTGGGATGTCAGGATTGGGTATGCCATGCCCGCTACCATACGCCAACTGGATTGAAGAAACAGAACAGTACACATGGTTCCATCTTCCTGGGAAGACAGGGAGTTGCAGATTGTTTTAAGGGAATCCCAGGACTCCAGAAGTCTCCTTCATGGGTTTCTGCTTCTGCACCTGTCCTGTGAATGGTGTATCCATGCAGGTCCCCTTCTGCCCCTTTGTATACTCTCTCTGGTGTAACTTGCACCCAGGGCTTCAGCAGCCATCTATGCACTGAGAACTTTCTGTTCTTGGGGTGCCATTCCTTGGGCTTTAGCACCAGGACATGGCCTTGTGTGCATTGGCTGGGAAAAAAACTGCAGAATCCACACCAGGCGTTCCTGGAGGGCTTGGTCCTCCACCTACATTCATGATAGAATGACCAATTATTGTCGCTAGGACACCGGTGCCTCATCTACACCAATAGCCATGGGTATTTTACTGTTACAAGCTTGTCCTTCTAGGCACATTCCCTCATCCTGAACCAGTTAGCAGCAGCTCCTTTAGGGGAGCGAGGGTGGCTACTCGCCCCATCAGTCCTGGGTGGCCAGCACTCAGCTGGATGCATGCAATGGAAGTCACCTTCTGCCTCCACTCCTGAGCAGGATATGTTCTCGCCACATCTGTTTGCACTTTCCGCAATAGATCATTCACAGCCGTAGACTGGGGAGGCCTCCCAGGCCTTGGCTTTTTGTACCTTGAAAGGGATGGTGAGGCAGTCAGCTGTCAGGAATCACTTCCTTCCCTCCAGGGACCAGCCCTTGCATTGTTCATTTTCTAAAGCTAATACTTCTCAGGAAGTGACTCTCCTCTTTCTTTTTCCTACGAAGCTCTTTTTTAAAAAGCATCCTTTAGCTGCAAAACGTTCCCCTATTCATGGAGAAAGAAAATTGGGCTTGCTGGGTGAGAGGAGAGAATAGGGCTTGCTGTGATTCTCTCCTGGAGGCGGGCTCTCTCTGGCTGTCTGTTCCCTGTTCCCCATCCCCTATGAAACCACAGCAAGGATGGCTCAAGCTGCGCTGATCCTTGTGGCACCGACAACCTAAGCTGTCAGCATCTTCTCCAGAGCCTGGAAGTAGAGGCCCTGGCACTTTTTGGTATAAAAGTTTTGGTTTAAGAGGTGCCAGCAGCAGAAACAGATGTTCTAGGATGAAGGTAAGTCTGTCTTTACAAATGACTGATCCTGAAGATGGACTGGCACCTCGGGGCCCAGGACCCCGCAGAATCAGGTGATGGGTCCCCAAAACACAAATGGTGGTGGCACAATGAGAAATCTGGTGGTGCGCTTGGACAAAATGGAGTGGATGCTGTGTGGTCTCTTGCTTTCACCTCTGTGGCAGGCACTGCTAAGCTGTGGGTCCCCGGGCCTTTTCTTGGCTCTGAGCCATCTGGTCAGGGAATGAGTAGGAAACTGGCTTGCAAAGGACAGTCACGTCTCTGAGAAGGCTGTGTGGGCCCCAGCAAGCAGGTGGGCCAACCTGGGAGTAGGCTGGCATTTCCATACCATCCTGTCACACAGAACCTTGCATAGTTCCTGAGTGTGGCTGGGATCCCCCCCCACAGCTGGCAGCCCATGTTGCATCAGGGAGCAGTGACAGGGGTACTGAGAACAGCAGAATATCTAGAAGTGAGTTCTTCATAACTGTGGAACACAAGAGTCTTCCCTCATAGTGTGGCCCTTGACCACTATTGCTGCAGGTGAGAGCTAAGTCCCTGGAATATCCTCCTTACACAGCTGGGGTCTAGTGAAGGCCACAGAGCCACTGCCTGCTGCCTTTATGCACTGATGCACTCCATTTCTCATTTTTAGATGGTTTTAAGCTTTGAAAGCACAGATCCCAATGAAGAGGAGCTCCCAATTCTTGGAGTTCACAGACATTTGATCTGTGTTTGAAAATACCCTATTCCTTGTGCAGAATTCCCAGAATGCCAAGATTTCCTTTCCCATGCTCATTTGTGGAGCTGGCCCATGATACCAGCTGGACTCTTGAACGTTCCCGACATATCACGGCCATCTTTCGAAGGTTCTGATTAGGCGGACACACCATGCCCCATCACAGTGCTCCAAGTCAGGCAGCCGCATGCTTCTACATAGAGGGTCAGAGTCAGAGCCCAGGACTCAGCAAAGCACCAGGCACAGTGGCGGCCACAGAATGAGATCTGCTTGCCTGGATGCCAAGGCTGGGGGCAGCGCACATGGAGGTGCATGCACATGGGGCAAAGCCCTTTAAGAGAAAAGCCCGTTTTTTGCTGTCTGCCTGATCCTGGATGGTTGAGAAACAATTGTGATGGGCAGTCACATTGCACTTGTACAGGCCTAGGACACAGGAGGGTTTAGCCCTGGGCCTACAGGGAGGGTATGCAAGTACAGCAATTATGTTTCCCAAAAGGACATCAGCAGCCGCTGGTGCCAAGACCCATGGGAAGGTTAGAGCTCTGGGGGTCACATTCATGGAGAGAGACACAGACAACAGCAGAGACAGAGTAATCCAGGCCATGTGGCATGAGGAGATAAAGTGGCCCCCCAGCCCAGGGAACCTCCCATGGACCTCATGGTACTGAGCCTCCATTTTCTCACCTATTCAGTGAAAATGAAGCCTTGCCTCCCAGGGATTTTGTAAAGATTGGGAGACTAGCTGGGCACGTGGCTCACACCTGTAATCACAGCACTTTGGGAGGCTGAGGTGGGTGGATCACAAGATCAACATGGTGAAACCCCATCTCTACTAAAAATACAAAAATTACCCAGGTGTTGTGATGTGCACCTGTTATCTCAGCTACTCAGGAGGCTGAGGCAGGAGAATGGCTTGAACCCGGGAGGCAGAGGTTGCAGTGAGTTAAGAATGTGCCACTGCACTCCAGCTTGGGTGGCAGAGTGAGACCCTGACTCAAAAATAAAAAGACTGGGAAGCTATGCCCAACACACCAGAAGGTGGTTCCTTGGTGCCCGTGAGTGCCCTTACCCTCCACCAAGGGTACTGAGCTACATGCCCTGTGCCCTTGATGTGCACTGAGAATTCACTGCTTGCCACCTTCCATCTGATTTTAATTTCAGCATTTCACAGCTCACTTTTGAAATAGCATCTTGCATCCCCAAATGTCTGCGCACATTGCAGAAATAAAAACAGCCCCTCTCTGAAGGCAAAAGTGTGAGATCCGGGTTCTCTGTTTTCCTGGAAGAACAAGAGATCCAGAAGGAGAGATGGGGGAGGGGGTGGGAAAGTTTGAGTCCAAATCAGGCTCAATTCAGTGAGCATGTATTAAGCTCCTGCTGTGTTCCCCGGGCTTTTGCACACAGGGTGTCATTCACCTTCCCCGTGGTCCTCTGCGGGAGAATCAAGCTTCCACTGGCAGCTGAGGAAATGGAGGCTTAGCGATGTGTAGATCCCATGTTCACAAGGCAGCAGAGCCAGGAATCAAACCCAGCTCTCCTTCCCTCTGCCACACAGCCTCCTCATCGGGCTGGTGCTATTTCTACCCCCGCCCCCCGCCAAGAGAAATAGATGCACAGATCCTCTATATGATCCTGCAGGCCCTTCTGCCCTGTCCTGCTTCACGCTCAGCCGATCTGGGTGATTCTGCGCCTATTGTGTGTTTTCAATACCTCATAGAAATGACCTGGGTACCAGAGCTCAGCCTGGGCAGCTCTTGTCCGTGATGCAAAATTACAACTCATGAGTGATCACCGGGAGGGTGCAGAGCAGGCAAAATCCAGACTTGACTTCCTGCCTTAAGCGTGGCGGCCACCTGCCCAGCTCCCCCAGGTGGAGCAGAGGCAGGCTGGCTAGAGGCTGGGTCAGAAGGAAGAGTCCTTGGACATGCAGGCTTGAGGACACAGGCTTTTGAGACGAACCTGGCTAATATTCAGTTTGGGTGTCACTCTCCTTAATGTACTGTAAACCATCACTGCGGAAGAGCTCGGTGTGGATGCTGCTTGTACTCACAGCTCTTGTTCTCCCTCCACGCCTAGGTCCTTGCTGCAAAAGTGCTCAACCTTGTGCTGCCAAACTTGTCACTCGGGCCCATTGACTCCAGCGTGCTCTCTCGGAATAAGACAGAGGTGAGAGGCTTTCCAAAAACCCAGGGGGAGCTTGGGTGGCTGCCGTTAGGAGGAATCAGAGTTTCCGCTCCAGCCTTGGCATTCTCTGCTTCCCTTTCACCAAGGTCCCGTGCAAAGTGACAAGGACACAATGGGCATGAGATGTGGTTGGCTTCAGGTTTGGGTGGAAAGGGTGGGGTGGCTGTGATGCTACAGCTGTGTTCTAAATGTGAATGGAGCCAACAGTGGAAGTTGAGTATGTACCAGTCAAGTCTCTTGGTTTCAAGAGACAGAAACCCAAGTCAAGGTGATTTAAGCAAAAGCAGGGATTGTGTTGTGAATGGAACTGAAGGCTTCAGGGATGACTGGATCCAGGATGTCAAAAGTCTTATTCTCCACCTGTCTCTCCCCAGCTCTCATCTCCCCTGGTTTAACTTCATTCCCAGAGAGGATTTCCCCCAGTGAAGGCCAAGAAGGCCGCCAGCAGGTTTACCTAAGCAACCTCAGTGGAAAAATAGCACCTCTTTCTAGCAAAAGTCTCAGGGCTGATTCTTACTGACTGATTGTCCAGGCCTGGATTACTTGTCCAGGAAAGGTGGGTAGTATCAGCCCCACCCACTGAGAGTAGAGGAGGGGGATTCCTGGGGGTAACTCAGAATAGTGGTGTCAGAGGTAGGACAGACTCATATTGCAGATGAGCAAACTGAGCGACATAAGGTGGCAGGACTTGCCTGGGGTCAGCCAGTGGTGAGGCCAGCCTGGGAACTGGGGTAGGTGTGGTCTCCAAGTGTGCTCTGTCTAGGCATGGGAAGGGCCCTGTGGACTTGCAGCTAGTGGGTAGGAAGCATCCAGAAGACACTAGAATTATCTTCATGATTAAGCAAATAAGTTTGCCAGTCTTCTGCCTCAGTTGCCTTCTTGCCTTAGGAATTTGAAATCATTGACTCACTGGCTCCCTCAAGGGGCCCAGGAAGTGCAGTGCAGTGCTCTGGATTCTGGTGAAGCTCCCAGGCTTCCTTGGGCTGTTGAACTTTTAGCTTCATTAAAAAATGTGGCCTCCTGGCCCTCTGAGTCACTTAGAGTGAGCAACTCAAGGGAAATGTCCCGTGGTGTGTAGGAAAGAGACTTTCTAGATCGGGGTTGAAGGCCACCAGGCCTCTGAGGGCCAGCTGCTTAAGAATCAGACTGGTGAGAGATGCTATCGAGCCATGAGGCCTGTGCAGAGCCAGAGGGCATCTGATCTGTTCAAGCCATCCACATTAATTAAGAATTCTAGTATAATTTGGTTTTTAAAACCCACAGTACCTCCCTAACCCACATCTTGGGGCCAGGTTGGACCCATCAGGGGCCAGGGTGTGGCCCCCGGTCTTTCTCTGAAAGAATATTTGAGTAAAGGAAAAAACTTCAGTTCCAAAAAGCAGATTCATACAGTGAAAGAGCACAACTTTAGGACCCAGAAAGACCACAGCCAATCAAATATACATGGTTTGATTTAATCTTGACACGAATAAAATTGACATTAACCCCATTTCACAGATGAAGAAACTGAGGCTTGGAGAGGTTAAATAACGTGTTCAAGATTGCACAGCTAGTCAGGGGCAGAGATGGGATTTTTAGCTCCCCCTTTTTTTTTTTGAGACAGTCTCGCTCTGTCGCCAGGTGCCAGGCTGGAGTGCAGTGGTGCAACCTCAGCTCACTGCAACCTCTGCCTCCCGGGTTCAAGCAATTCTCCTGTCTCAGCCTCCCGATTAGCTGGTTTTAGCCCATTTTATTCAAAAGACCATGCTTTGGTGCCTCCTTCTAGCTAAGATTTATGATCATTAAGCTCTGTTTCTCGTTTTACAATTGCTGTTCACACAGCCTATGGCCATGGCCGCTGCTCTGTACGGGACCCACTTTGTCAGGAAACCTCAGTGTGGGGCAGGGGCTCCTTCACCTGCCTGCATCCTTCATCATGGCTGTAGCTTGAAGGTGTGGTCTCAGGTAAAACCGGTGATCTTTGTAGTAGTGGTGCCAGGACAACAGTGGGTTTGGGAAAGATGGGTAGGGGAGGGAGGGGCCTCCCTTTGAGACAAAGCACCCAGGTACAATTCCAGTTGTTTATCTGAACACCTGAAAGTATATTGGCAAAGAGGAAGAAAAAAGGAGACACTAAAAAGAGAGTCTAAACCCTCCTGTTTAAAAGCATCCAATTGCAGATTTTTTCTCTCCTTTTGCAATAATGAGAAATTTCTCGGCTTTACTCAAGGATGGAAGCACCTTGTGTCCTGCCCCACCCACAGCCCCCTGTCCACGCCCTCCTGTGTTGGGTTTCTAGCTGGCCGGTTGAGTTATTTAGAAACACTAATAAATGTTCCTGCTGAGAAGACATGAGGAAAGGAGGTGGCCAGTCAGCCCGAAGGCTGGACTGCAGTCGGAAAAATCAAGAGCAAGCCTTTCCCTCCCTTGCCTGCCACAGCTTTGCGTCCCCCTCTGAATGTTCTGCTGAGCTTTAAAAATAGCAACGCCGAAAGGAAAATGTGTTGGGAAAGGCATCTAACATCAGGGTGTCTTGAGGCACATCTTTAGCTAAGACATTTCCCATGGAACCCTGCAGTTATAAAACCCTCAAACAGAAAGAAATGTTTGCCTAACAAGCTGAGTGAGCAGGACTAGCAGGGATGGGTTGCTGGCCGGGAATCAAAGGTGCAGGGGCCTCAGAGTCAAGGGTGTGCAGGCCCCAGGGAAGATCTGGAATTCTGTAGGGAAGCAGGTTGGCTCTGTTGCTGGAATGTCAAAAGCAGAATGTTTGATGGTTGCTGTGACAAGTGTTCTCACAATTCACCCAGGACTGCTAACAGGCTCTCTTCACTTGCCTCGCCCCACAGCTGCCACCCCACAGAGCCACGTTCTCCCTGCATGTGTGAAGCCTTTAGGAAAAAAGGTGTAAGAAGCCTTTTATTGTCTCAATACCACCCAATGCACAATGATGGCATTTTTCTTCTGTACCAGACACTAGAGCCCTTCTGTTCTCATTGGAGCCCCAGGAAGTCAGTCTTACTACCAGTATTTGCAGTTGCAGAAGTGTGGGCCCAGAGAGGACAAGTCACTTGCCCAAGGACACAGAGCTACTCCCAGCCAAGTGCCTCAAACCCAGGGAACAAAGTAGTTGCTACACAGATATTTATTATGTTTGTCTATACATTTAGAGTCCCTGATCAGAACATCAGAATACTGACATGGTAATCATTCCACCCCAAAAAGGGTTTATCAGAATGCAATAAATCCCTTCCTAAGCTGAGAAGCCTTGAACTGATTCTAAAGAGTTCCATGGCCAAGGACACTGTAGGAGGAGGTGAGGAGGAGAGGTTGCTCGGCATCTGCCTGTGCCCTCAGCCATCCACATGTTCAGACGGAATGCACTACTTTCTCTCCGAGGTCATCGAAGGGGTGGAGTCGGGAGGCAGAGAGGCATTATTCTAAGCACATCTTGCTCTAGGAACCTCAGATGCTTATCTCTTTTTTTTTGAGACAGAGATTCACTCTGTTGCCCAGGCTGGAGTACAGCGGTATGATCTCTGTTCACTGTAACTTCTGTCTCCCAAGTTCAAGTGATTCTTCTGCCTCAGCCTCCTGAGTAGCTGAGACTATAGGCACATACCACCACGCCTGGCTAATTTTTGTATTTTTAGTACAGATGGAGTTTCACCATATTGGCCAAGCTGGTCTCAAACTCCTGATCTTGTGATCTGCCCGCTTTGTCCTCCCAAAGTGCTGGGATTACCGGAGTGAGCCACTGCACCTGGCCATCTCTTGAGGACACTTGTCTTCTAGAGCCCAGTCTCTGTTCTCCCTAAATACCTTGGGAGGCCCTCTCCGCTAGTTTATATTCCCTCGGGCAGGCCATATGCTAATTTCAGAGCACTCATGAGCCATGAAGAGTGGCCACTTGGCCTCCTTTCATATCTTCCCTGCCCAGTGTTTCGGATACGCACAGCGTTGAGGCGTCGGCCCCAGGTCACCCTTTGCCTGCCTGTGCTGCACACATGGTGCCCAGAGGCCCTTGGAAGGCTCCTGCTGGGTCTTGGAAAGCTCGGCGGTGCTGAAACCTTTGACTTAACTGTAACCACAGCTAGAGATGGGCCTCAGCCTCCCACTCTGTCTGCAGGACACAGCCTCCTATGGGAGTTCCCTCTGAGAACAAGCTAAGAACCTTTCATTAAACTTGGTTTGCATGGCTATTTTATTTTGTGGTTCTCCATCGTTCATCACATTCCCCACAGCATACTTGTCTATTTGAGGCAGCTAAAAATTCATCAATGCCCTAAAAAAACAACAGGCACTAGAAAGTCTCTTGGGCATATGGCTCCATGTGGGGTGGTGACGAGGGAGCGTGTAAATTGCTCTACATTGCTTTTGCACCCTGCACCACCCTCTGTGGATGTTCCAGCTCTGGACCTTCTCCCAGTCCTGCCAGCCACCAGGCCTGGGAGAAGTGGCTCTGAGCTCACAAGAGGCAGGTCCTGAAAGTTGGATGCTTTAATGGCAGCAGAAAACCAGGGACTGCAGAGACTGTGAGGGAAGCCCCAGCTGCCAGCAAGATACAGGACACAGTGAGGAGTTCTCTATGCCCAGCAGGCCCGGCTGAGCTTCTCTCTCAAGTGCCTTTCTGGGTACATGGGACATGCATATAGTAGGGCCTTAGCAGTGGAAGAAAGAAAGATGTGGGCTCAGTTGGGCTCCTGCAGGAACATAGCCTGGGCAAAGCTCTCCCAAAAGTGTCTCTTGGCTGTTGTGAATAATGCTGCTGTGTACATTCTTTTGGGTATGTACCCACAAGTGGGATTGCTGGGTCATATGGTGATTCTGCTGATAATTTTGAAGGAACCAACCTGCTGTTTTCCACAGTGCCTGTGCCATTCACATCCTCGCCAACAGTGCTCAAGGGTTCCGGTGTCTCTACATCCTCACCAACACTGGTTAGGTTGTGTTTTTTGACAGTAGCTGTCCTAATGGGTATGAGGTGGTGTCTTAGTGGGACT